TATATATATATATATATATAAATGTCTTAGATATTATGATTTCCCTGTCCTGATGGACCGACCAGTCGAGCTGAAGTGATGTGCAGCCCAGCAGACATAGACCTCTCATCCTTGCGGACTAAAGGATTATTCTGTGTTTGGTTTAGGGTCAAGGAGAAGGAGTGGTTGTGGATAGGAGGAGCTAAGCGGCCACGCTGCAGAATCTGGTCCATAGACTGGAGAAGAGAGGGTGAAGAGTCAGATTAAGGTTCACAGTAATCTGTTTAATCCAATAAAATAAATAATAATAAATAAAAACTAAGTTACATCACAAGTAAAAGGAAATATGAACTTGAGAAATTGTATTTCCTGTGAAAATGCAGTGTGAATGCTTATTGCTGAAGAACTTGCTGAAAAACAGCTAAAAATGTGCTGAATTTTAGCTGAAATGGAAGAACAAGCCTAAATTAGCAGACAAAAGCAGAAATAACAAATATTTGCTGTATTAGGTTTAAATGAGCAAAAATTAGCATAAAATTGGGAAATTAGTAAAAAAAAAGCTGAAATTAGCAAAAAAAAAAATTGCTGAAAAGTAGTCGAAAAGGCAGAAAGAAGGTTAAACTACCAAAAAAAACCAAAAAGAGCTGAAATTAGCTAAAAAATGTGGAATTAGCTGAAAAAGCTAAAATTAGCATAAAACAGCTCAAAGTGGGCCTAGTTGAAATAGCAGAAAAAGCTGAAACTAGCAGAAAGAAGTTGGAAAAAGCACAAAAATGTTGTAGTTGGCAGAAAGAATCTGAAAGGAGCACAAAACAGCGGGAAATAAAAACAGTTGAAAGTAGCTGAAAGTAGCTAAAGAAAGTGTAAATTTGCACAAGGAAGCTGAAAGAAGCTGCACCAAAACAAAATGTAAAAGGAGCAGTAAAAGGTTGTAAACACATCTAAAGATCTGAAGGATGTCAAATGAGCTCAATTCATTTTCTATGAGGAAAAAATGGCAGAAACAGCTAAATATTTCAAAAAGCTAAAGTTGCTCCAGTACCGAAAGTCATAGCACCCTTCTCCGGAATGTTTTGATTTATGATTTGTTGACAAAGCTTGAAAAATGCAGGATGAGAAAGAAGCCGAAAAATGTAAAGAAAAATGAATCACTTGGATGGTGAATGCTTCAGTCACACAGTGAGTGGAGAGTAAAGCCAGGCCTGCTTCTTACCAGAATAGGGCTGCAGCCCTCTGCTGGTGCTGTGGTTACAGCGTTCTGCTCTGCTTTCCTGCAGGCTGCTGTGGGCTGACTGTAACGAGCTGCACCAGTTGGAACCCACCCAAAACCATCTGGATGACAGAAAAAGAAGTTGATGTTCCGATCTTTCTACACAGCTCTACCGTGTCAAAATATCTGTGTTTCAAAACTGCATTACATTTGTATATTTTCTGAGAAATATAATTATTCCTTAACACTACGGTCTTTTATTAATTGGATGAAATTAAAATATGTATAAAAATATAACAGGGAGACAAAGGCTCCTACTTGAAACATGTGTGATGGGGTTAAATGTGGGTTTTCCAACTTTTGGGCTCATCTTCTCTGCAGCAGATGAATTCACAACCCCAGTTTTGTTGACATCTGGACGTGAAGCAACACGGTTTGTCTTCTTATTCTGCTCACGCTGTGTTTTCTCTTTAGGGTTGTCATCTTCATGGTTGCTTGCTGCTCCTGGGCTCTTATCTCCCTGATCACACCTCGCGCTGGTTGACTCTTGATTCCCCGAACAACCTCCATTAGGCATCCCATGGTTAGATCTTCTCTCCAGGATCATCTGCGGGTGAAGAAGAGGAAAATTTCAACAGGTTCAATCTGTTTGAGCAGTTTAACGCTCAGTATGAGAATTGCATTAAGCGCTATATGACCAACTTGAGAAAAACTTATGGCTTTCAGAACCTCATATACTTTGTTGCGGTACTGAACCACAGATAACTGCACATCATCGTCCACTGGCAGCACTAGATCGGAGCTGAGAGCTGGTTCTTTGGCTGGATTATGAAACCTGTGAGAATAGAAACCTCAGTTGTAGACATGATGCCTTTAATAAAAACATGAAAACATCTTTAATCTACAATAACCCAAGCAGTATGGTGAAGAAAGCTTGAAGATTGACATGTTTATTATCAATGGAAACAAATAACAAAAAAAAAGATTTAAAAAATTCAAATCAGTCCTTTCACTTGATGCTGATTTCAATCCAAAAATCAATAAGGCTTTAATACCTGGCGACATATGGGTGCTGAAGGGCCTGCTCTGCAGTCAGACGCTTGTCTGGGTTGAAAACGAGCAATCCCTTCAGCAGGTCAAGAGCGTCAGGAGGCACAGACGGCTGGAAAAGATCCTCCAAAGGCACCTGTGGTCTGGTGAACAAAGAAAACAGAATGCATTGGAGGCAAAAATACAAATAAAGAAAATAACACCTGGACGCAGTCTGAATAGAAGGTCTAAAATGGTTGATAGATGTTTTCAGCCTGCTCATTAAGTTATCTCCAAGTTTGCACTTGTCACAAGAAGGTGACCTGTTTTGCCTCGTCACTGCTGGGATATTGCATCACTGCTGCAGAGTCCCAGAGTTTTTAATTAAGTTCATCTCCTCTTGCGTGCTCTCACGATAGTCTTCCCAGTGGACAAGAAGAAAATTGGTTTACGTGACTCTCTGATTTAGCTTTGTGCCAGCAATGACAAGCTCACAAAAAGTCCAAGATAAACTGTGTTAACGTACAGATACAGTCCTTCTGAGAGGGCTGAGAAATTGTTTTATGTACAATTACACAATTAACATGTTTTGTTCATGTTTAAATGATAAAGACAGATTTTTTTTTTTTTTTTTTACAATGCAACAGAAAATAAAACTGCATAAGGCCTCACTTCAGTAACATCCTCTGAATGACAGAAGATCCGTATTCGGACCTGATGGCGAGAATATCTGAAAACATAAAAGCATTTACTCAATCCAAACTGAAACTGCAGAACAGCTGAGAAATGTTGTGTGACCTGTTCGTCACCTTCTGGACTTGGGTGAGGTATGGCACTCATGATCTTCTCTATTTGGTTGATGGTGGATAATCCAGGAAACAGGGCTTTTCCCAGCAGCATTTCTCCCAGGATGCAGCCCAGGCTCCACATGTCCACACCTTTAGTGTACCTTTGGACAACGAACACTTCTTTTAGAGTAAACTCTGAATAGGGACACATTAGTATTAAGTACTAACTAGAGCTTGCAGCTAATAAGATATACAACCTGTTACTGTGATGAAAAAGTTCATTTTAGTTTGATATTTGCGCAAGTAGATCCTGAAGAAGCCTTTTTGGGCCAAGGTGGAATGTGTTTTTGTTATAACATTTGTTACATCATCAGTAATAAATTGGGATATGATATACATGTAAGGTCTTATCACCACCAAATATGAAAGGGGAGTTTCTGGAAATAAGTCATGTTTATCAGTGAGCCTACGAGGACAGGGATTACAGACTCCATGAAGTCTGGGCTGTGACCTTGGGTTTTGATTAGGCCGACCCTGAGCATTCTCCCTTATGAGTGACAAGTGAGAGATAAACTATTTGTAGTGATGCATTAGGAATGTATGAAGTGTCTGTGTAAATCTGTATGGGTTGGTTTTTGGGGGTGATTTTGATGCCGTTTGGCTGATCACCATTTTTTTTTTGCTCTAAGAAACCCCCATCTTTGCTGTAAGACAGAGTTTCAGTCATCTATTTTTACTTAATGATAATAAAAACCCACAACACCACATCTACAAGGCACACATACATTAACAATGAGATGTAACAGCAAATATATCATGTGGAGGTTTGGTTTAGATTAAAGTTGATGTTGAAATGTATCCAATTTAAAGTAAAGATCTTAGGTTTAAAGGAAAGTTTAGGTTAGGATTAAGTTTTGGGTGAAGGGATGCGTTATGTAAAAATCAGATGTGTCATATCAAATATACCTTAAAGCTGGACTTTCTTCAATAATGGATACGAAAGGTCCTGCTGGCGTCTCATGTTCTCATTTTAAAATGTAATCACATATGCTCAGAACCATTTGTGCACACAGGAAGCAGACAATGGTAGCTTAGATAAAAAAAGGACAGCAAAACACCCAAAATGTATTTGTCTGGATTGATGCTGAGGTAGAATTAAGACTAAATAACAGGAGGACCGTTACAAATCAGGAAAGATACCACATAACATTACTGAGAAAACCAACTGCGGGTGTGCGTTCAGTTCTTTGTGTAGACTTGTTGCTGATCCACTCTGAACAGGGTGAAGTATTCACACTCTGTTATATTTGTAGAACCGAAGATGAAGAAGTCTTCATTTTTAAAGCTGACACATGGTTACATGGTTAGGGGTTTGTGCTCATAGATCCCTTATAAAACTAATATTGCCCTTTTAAAATGTGATAAATTATGTTTATGATTAAAAATTTAAGTTTTTGTGAAGGATAGGTTTTTTTTAAACTTTAACCTTTACAGGTTAGTCTCATTGAGTCACGAGGACTCAGAGAGACCTGTTTGGGAGCAGATGGTAGGGTTAAGGGCCTTGCTCAAGGGCGCAGGGTGGAGCAAATGAGTGTGGAGGCAGGTATTAATGTGTTATGTGTTGTCATCATTGTATGTTCCCATACAATGGCGAAATTGGCTCTCTGCATTTAACCCATCGCACCTGAGATACACGCAGGTGGAGCAGTGGGCAGCTGTTGAAAATGTTGGGGAGTAATTGGGGATGAGGTGTCTTGCTCAGAGACACCACGAGATGTGCAATGACTAGGGATCGAACATGAAACTTTTGGATCCCGAGTCGACTGCCCTGCCTCTACCCCATCTCGGCCCTAGGTGTGGGTGTTTCACCTTTTCCACCCACATTTTGATGTTGTCGGTCCAGGGAGTCGAACCGGCGACCTTCCAATCACAGGCCCACCTTCTCTAACCTCTGCGCCACCACTCCCCTATGATAGAGTTCAAATAATCTGAGAACGATGCTGATACCTTGTGGATCCCAGTAGGATCTCAGGGGCTCGGTACCACCGCGTGGCCACGTACTCCGTCAGCGCCGGGTTCACGCTGTCCTCTTGGATCTGGTTGAGCGATCTGGCCAAGCCAAAATCACAAAGCTTGACAATACAGTCTGAGTCCAGGAGCACGTTGGAAGGCTGTGGGGGAAACGGATGGAAGAGTATTTTTCAGCTAAGTCCAGTTCTTAACAAGGTTATTGGCTTAAGATAATAAAACAGACCGGTCGAGAGGTAAATGTAAAGAACATTTTCAAGGTTTTATTTTAAACCACTAGAAAAAGTTGCAAGCGTCTCACCTTTTGGTCTCTGTGAATAACATTTCCTGAATGGAGATATTTGATAGCTTTGAAGAGCTGGTACATGACGTAACGCTTATGAATATCCTTCAGAAGAGAGCCTTTCTTTATCACAGCGTGCAGGTCCGTATCTGGGACAAAGAGGAAGAGAAAAAACTGCTCACCTGCACTGTATGGCTGCTTTAACAAAAGATAGGATCCTAAATATTAATGGGTTACACTCGAGAACATCTGTCAAACTTGTGTTTTCACTGAACTGCTACACACAGAATTCATTATTGTAAAACAGCATGAAATCAAAGACAAAGAGGAGAGAAGCAGGAGACTCCTGCTTTGTGTCACCACAAAAGTGAAGGTTGCACAGATGAGAGGTCGGTTTGCAGACTCAGAACCTTTTCAGAGCTAAACATCACTTGCACTTCTCCCTTCTTTTTGCCGATGTAATGTAAACCTAAACGGTGTGTATCTGTTAAATCATTTTTTTGCCTAATAATACATACCCATGTATTCAAAGACGAGGTAAATGTCTTTATCATTTTGTGCTTGGATGATGTCGAGAAGCTTGACAATGTTGGCGTGATCTCCAAACTCCTGCAGAAGGATTAAAGATTTCAGTAACAGAAACAAAGGCAGCGCAGCTTGACCTGCACGACGCAAAGAACTGCACAAGTCGCATGATCGTCATGACAAACAGCGACAACACAACTAGAGTTTTTACTGGAGGATGACATCAGCTGATCAGGTAGCAGGAGAACAGGCATGTAGCTCGGGTGACAGACTTATTTGGATGCAGAGGAAGGTTTGTTTATTGAAATTAACCTGTGGTTTTAGGATTTAGGCACTTACATTTGATGAATATAAATCAAAAGCATCCTCAGCAGTTTTGGAGGTCTCAGTTTAATTTAGTCATGGTAACTTCCTCTTGTGAGAGACATATATCTTGTAGTATCTATACATTACAAATCAAGATGATGTCGCTATTTTGCTGCAAATATAGTTTAAAACTTTATCAGCACATTTCTGGTTGTAGTTTAAAGTAAACGGCGTATGTCTGACAATAGTAATTTGAGATTAACAAAATAGATTATATGAAAGCATGTCTTATTCATCAGCATCAAAAGTCTGTGTTTTAGTCAGTGGTTTACAAAGTTGAGGTTAGGAAGCCATTGTGGGTCGTGAAACATCAAGGAAGGGGTCTTCAGATAATTCAAAGAAATCAAATTAAGTTGATTGTAACTAGTTTATGCTTTAATAATTCTTAAAAATATAAAAATGAACATCATACATTGATGAAAATATTAATTAAAACAATTGTGAGTGGCTGTTTGTTCACTATACATCCTTCTTTATTGTCTGAATGCTTATAAAACGTTCAGACTATTGAGATCCTGTATGTTCCATATGTTTTTCAGCATGTAACTGGTTCTGCAATTCTTGTGCTATTTCACCATTTCATTTATTAAAATGTTCAGCTCATTCAGGATATTCCTGCTATGCCTTTTAGTATTGGTGCAATTTTAACTTTTTGAAATATTTAGCTTTGTCGGCCATGTTTTTCTCATTGAAAATGAACGGAGCTCTCCGCATCCTTCAAAGCCTTTGTGCAAGCTTTTACTGCACATTTCAGCTTTTGTTCTGGTTAACAGCAACTTTGTGCCGATTTCAGCTTCCTTCAACTCTTTTCAGCTTATTTCTGCCATATTCAGCTTTTTCAACTATTTTTGTGCTAATCTCTGCATTTTTTCCACTACTTTCCACTCATATTTTTCTGTTTATAACAAATGTCATCTGTTCAAATTCAACTCGCCTTAATTTAACAATAAAAACTTTTGAACATGGTTTTAACTTCTTAAGCAGCTTTCAGCAAAACAACAATATCCAGCAATAGACATTCACACTGAGAATTATCTGTGTTATGGACCCAGACTGAAGCTCAACAGTTAATGAAGATATTATTTTACGTGAACAACATAATTACCTGGAGGAACATGATTTCTCTGTATGTTCGCTGTAAAAAAACAAAACATTGCAGTCAAGCTATGAACTTTAAAAGAAGCGTGCAGTTATAAAATAGGTACACGTCAGCCTCTTCCTTAAAGGTGAAGGAGGAAGTCTTTACAGAACAATTATACTGAAGAGCAGAGGTTTGCAGAGCAGTGAGGCGCAGGAGGTCATTATAGAGCTAGACTTTATTTTAATGATTGAAGAGGGGAAAATCTAAACTTTTGAGAATACATCATGTTAAATATTACCAGTGTTATTTTATTTCATTCATATACCACAGTTTACACACCTGGGCATCTGTTCTGTTTCTGAAAGCATCAAAGATTTTCTTCACTGCCACGATCTCCCCAGTTTGTCTGTCAACAGCTTTCCATACAATGCCGTACGCCTGAGACGGAAAGAAAGTGACATGTTATCAGGTGGCTTCTTGTACCAGCAGGTGTGGCCTTCACAATACATAGAAAAACAAAAACACTGCACTTGTAAAACCTAATGAATATAGGCAAGGTCTCTTTCTGCCTTTTAAAAAGCTGAGAATGCAGACTGAACAGTTATTTGGATGTAGTTTTGACTACTGAGAAACGAGAGCTGCGGTGCAGAGGTAGAAGATGTGAAAGCAAGAGTGAGGCAGGACATCAGAATCCACTGTGAGGCCTGTGTATCAGATTCACTCAGCGCTGTGCAGACTGTCACGACCGGCCCAGGTCCCAGAAAAACAGGAATGATTTACTTTCACTGTTTAACGCTATATAAAAATACATTTATTCAATTCAATTCAAAAATACTTTATTAATCACAAAGGGAAATTATTTTGTTGTTGTAACTCGTTATTCTCATTTCATTAATAGATGTTAAAGATGCTGATGCTGTAGACAGGAAGGATCTCTTGTAAAGGTCCATCCCACAGCGGATCCTAAGAAACTGGCTGCAGATGCCGTCCGATCCGTCCCCCCAGACTCGGCTGGCTTCTCGGTTTGAGAAGGGGTTATTTAGTCGGTTCCCCCGGGCTGTAGGACCACCCGAATGCAGGGCAGAACTCCTCCCAGAGCGATGGCCACTCCTCCCAGCAGTCCGCCGAGCTCCTCGTCACTGCGGACAGCCAACTGTAGGTGCTGAGGGACGATCCTGTCCTTCCGCTGTCATGAGCCATGTTTCCTGCTAGTTCCAGGATCTCAGTGGTCAGGCACTCGAGCACAGCTGGCAGGTAGATGAGACTGCATCCACAGAACATCCTTTCAACTCATTTGAGATTTGGGGCTGTCGTTGAGATATTATTTGAGCTTTTGAGATGTTAATCAGCTGCTGTTAGTTGTAGAAAACTGCCTTGTTGCCATGGTTACGCATCATAACAAATGTCCAAAACTAAAAAGGTTTCAGTAAAAATCCTTCCAGCTGCACAGCATCCGATACCAGAGGAAACAATCATCCAAAAAATGTGATTTACATCCATAAAAAGAGGAATTAAAGTTTCCAAAAGCAAATTCTCAAAATGGAAATAACAGAGTTGCTCCAACATGCAGCCACCTTGAGCGGCGCAATTCTAGAACACGTCTATGTCTTTGTCTTTTCACGTCTTTATGTCTTTTAAAATACAATTACAGATCTCCACTTAGTATTGTTTGATCCCTGAACAGCGGACACGCCGAGTCACATCTAGTTTCCCAAGATGACACCTTTATATTGCATTTAGCAGGCAGCTGGCTATAAAACAGAGCAACAAACAGTGAGTCTCTGTCTCTGTAAAAGCAGCATAAGCTGAGCTGCAAAAAATAAAAAAATTAAAAAATTCCCTGGTAAATAAACAGCTTGGTTTTAAATGAGCCTTAAATCAGGAGAATGTCAGTAATTTTCTTAAGATGGAGCAAAAATCAAGTTTTTTTTCTGTGGAAAAATTACAATATGGCATTAGTGACAAGTGCAGTTGTGGATAAAAAAGTACTCACCCCTTTCCCAATTCTCTTCTTGATTTCATATTTGTGAGAAATGTGATTCTCCACCTCTGGGACGTTCTCCGACTGGTACTTCTTGCTCATTTTTCTTGCAGCAGAAGTTGCACTTAGCCTCACACGGACAGCATCTTCTAGTATACCTGCCGGAAACGACCCTGAACAGGTGTTAAACAGGTGTCATGGAGGTCTGCCCGGTCAAAGGGTGCAGCTTTCAGCTCCACGACACTTTTCATGTATTATTAAGACAACAGTCGCTGTGGGATTACCTGGCAACCCTCGAGCGACCACTCCGGTTAAACCCCGCTTTTCTCCACTTCTGTCCGTGTTTGTCCGAGTTGTGAGTTAATTTTTATCTCCATTTAGAAGCTTAAAACTATTTAACGTTTTTTAAATGTTATGCGTACGTGTCACGCACACGCGCATTCGCTCCTAAGGAAAAGACTAGTTTTTTTTTTTTGTCGTTATTCGTCGTCATGGTAACGACTACACTGCTGCCTGTTTCTTAAAGGGGCCGCAGCATCCACTTTGTCACGGAGACGAAGCAGCGAATGATGGCGGAAATAACGCACTATCAAAACAAGAGTCGCAAAATACCTTCTGTAAGACCAAAACTAAATGTAAAACCATAAATATTTGTGTTTCCTGTTAAAAAAAAAGTGTGAACGAGAGCTGATTTGAATAAGTTAAAATAGAGGATTTTTGAAGTTAAAACGTTCAGAATAAAAGCGAAAACTCGCTAAACGTTGACCAAAAGCTAAAGGTTTAAATTAACATAGTAACTAAAAAAAAGCTACAATTTGCAAAACAGTAACTGAAAGCTTAAACCAGCAGACAGAAGCCAAAAATTATATATATAAAAAAAAAGAGCATTATGAACAGCAAAGCATTAGCTAAAAGTTTAAACTAGCCAAATAGTGTTTTAAAGCTACAACCAAAAAAATCCAACATTTTTCAGTCAGGTCATCTGGACAGTTTCTTTTTTGTGCTGAAACGTTTCGCCTTCGATCCAGAAGGCTTCATCAGTCAAGGAAACAACACAAAACTAATTCTTCCCCCAACAGCTTACTCATAGTGGAACAAACCAGTTTTGTTGGTGCTAAGATGGTTTCTTTGGTACGCACCCTCCTCCATTGCCGGCCCTCTTCCTTGTTGGCAGTCGTGTCAAACTGGTTGAAAACAACAAAGTCCATGCTCAATCATCCAGGTATACAATCCAACATTTTTCAATTAGGTCACCTGGACAGTTTCTTTTTTAAAAGAAAGATGAACATTTTGATACCTAATTAGTTGGAACAGCTGAAACTCCAAAAGTATATATATACAAAAAAGAAAACATGATGTGAATACTGACTCAACATTCACACCAATAATTAGAGGTTAAATGTACAAACAACCAAGAACAGAAACAAATTGACACATCAGGATAATATCAACAAAAAAAGTAGGAAAATGAGACGTAAAATTTCCAGTAAATTCCAGAAAGCTAAAATGATCAAAATATGAGTAAATAAAACCAACATCTAATGTAATTACAGATAAACACAAGGATACAAAATGTTAAGTGGTAATCACAACTAATGCATTGAACAATAAATATATATATATATATATAAAATTTAGGCTACAAGACATGCAACTTTGCAGATTTTTATTTATTTCTAAAAAGCTCTTACATGCTTTTATTTAAAAATTAACACTATTATTTACAATGATCGTAATAAATATGTTTTCCCTAATGTTTGAAGGTTGAAACATATTTAGCAAGCAAAATGAAATGGTCTGTCTACCCTCATTTTGCCCATTTATGTTGCGATGAAGCCCTCTTTTCTAACAAAAATCTGGATTAGACACGTTAAAGTACAGAGAGAGGAAAACAAGAAATCAACAACAAAAACCACATTCTTTCCACCTCAGCATCTCTACTATAACAAGGAGTGTTCAAGACAAATAACTATTTTGCCTGAGAACTGACAAGCAACACAGATGAACTGTCGCCAAAGCCTGTTTCTTTGACTCTATTTACAGAGTTACAAGATTTTACAGTAAAAACATATGATATGAAATCTAGACAGTCATAGATGACACAACAGACACAATTAAAGAAACATAAAGACTTCAGCTGTTTTTTCAACCTTCACATCTTTAAAATGCTTTTTTTCGTTGGTGCTCTGTCAAATTTAGTTATAAAATTAGAATAAGTAGATCTCATAGTACAAAATTAAGAGGAAATTGTTCTGTTAAGGCCAGAATAAAGAGCCCAATTTTTTTTTTACACATTTGAGTATAAAAAAGGCTAAATAATCAGCTTATAATATGAGACAAACCCACAAAGCAAGGCTGCAGTTGGCATGATGAACCAGAAACAATGGAGTATACGGTACAAGGCAGCAGAGTTTGAACTATACATGAATTGATTAATGAACACAAGAACTTGATGTACAGAAAAAATGAAAAACGTGGAGATGTGGGACTGAAAACTGTCCAGATATGAATCTACTCCCTGCCAAAACAATCAGAAGAAAGTAAAGTTTTATTATTAAGTTAGAGTTCCACACAGAGGTGTCTATAGTGGACAAAAGATTTAGGAGGAGTGGAGGAAGCGGTTGAAGGCGTTGTAGGCTGACTCCAGATCGAACAGCATCTGACGAACCTGGTTATCGTCCAGCTCATCTGAGGCAGACATGCCACTGAGGGTGGACAACCTGTGACAAAAAGGCAATTAAAGATGATTAATATTACAAAACATTTAAAATACCACTGAGGCCAAAATGTTTTATGCTGTCCTGTTGAAATCCAAAGACAAAACTTGAATATCACATGTAGTAATGGTACAACTTGTACTCTTTAATAATGTTTTGTTGGGGTAAATTACTATGATTGTCTATTTTATATGATGATAGTTGAATTTACCAAAGGAAAATAAGATTTGGCATTGAACAGGATTTATTATAATGAATGCTATAAGTGTTTGGTGAAACTAACCAGAGGTTAACTTTGTCTTTTGCTTCGGAATCTGGAGGCATGTTGCTCATTCTGTTCATGGTTTCCATCAACTCTCTCAGGTCTGGTTGGATCTGAAGCCAAAAAAATCATTTTGTCAGCTAATGACAATTGTTCCTATATTACATAAAAAAAAGTTAAAAGTACCTCATCCATGGCTCTGATCTCCAGTCTCAGTTTGTCCATCACAGTAATGAAGAGCTGAGTTTTAGAAATGTTGGGGGAAAAATGAAAATCTTAGAACACAGAATATTTGGAAATATCCATTTCTTTAAGAAACAAAAATTAAAGTTGGCAGCATGCGCTCACATTTTTAACCATTGTTCTGAACAAGTGCAGTTTAATCTGAACGCGCTGACTTTTTTGTTTAGTAATATAATGTATAAATTTGATAATAATAATGAAACAAAAAAAAAAACATACAGAAACTATGTCTGCAATGCAACGGTTCAGGTTGCCCTTGTCATCCTTGATGGTGATTGGCCGATCCTCTTTAATCCTCTCCATTGCTAGTGGGCAGTCAAGCTAAAAACCCCAAAAAGACAACAGTAAACACTTTAAAAATAAGAAGTCTAAAGATTATCTTCCGTTAAATGCTTCATATAATGCAAATGAGGACTCACTCTGTACTTTCTACAGAAATCGTCGATGGAGCCAACATCAGAGCCCTGCACCTGTTTGAAAGCAGCCTTATACTGAACCAGGAGCCTGGAACAGGAACCAGTGTACCTGAAAACATAATTTCATCCATGTTAATAAAATGTGCTTTTATAGTTTATGTGGTGTATTAGCTGAAGTGTTACTTACTCATTAGGTGTTACACAGTCTTTAATGTAAGCCTTCTCCAGCCCCTGCAAGGTCTTCACGACAGCAAACAATTCTGCCATGTTGTCAAACCTTAAACAGATTTTTAAAATGTTGCAATCCCACAAATCTAGTATATATTAAACTCATATTACAGAAGTAGATGGCAGTATATTAACGCTTACTTTTCTCGTTCCCTTGCATTTTTGTAAAGTTTCACTTCCTGAAATGAAACAATTTAGAGTCGCACTTATTCTTGACCTCATGTTAAACTTTAAACGTATTGATGGATTTCTTATAGTTCTTGTTAAAACAAAAGAATAAATGAAATGCAGATTTTTTTTTTAAGTAAATGTAAGCAAAAATTCTGAAATGTAAAAAAATTAAGATGACTATTTTGTGCTTCTTTATGGTTTCCAAAGCAAAAACAGTTCTATATCCAACTGTTATATTTACCTCATACAACTCGGGTTTATTAGCTGGAGCTGTGAAGAGAAAAGGATTATGCATAATAATACTGAACTTGACTTTTGAAAGGAATTTGTTCAGTCTGAATACATAAATCTCATATCTTACCTCCACCCACTCCTCCTGTACCTGCTATACCATGGAACATGACGCTGATGTATCAGGAAATGGTCTGATATTTAGATATAAGCAAATAAATATGTAATCAGAAATCAAGTTTCTTAATAATGACTAAGTAACTTTCTGGGGTATGCCAGGACACAGTCAAATTATTATAAAACTTACAGTGAGCGCTGGTTATACAAGCAAAATGCTACATTACCAAAGTCTATTAGGACTGCTTTTATCTGGTCATATTACGTAAACATTAATAAATTACTAAATCTTGTTTTTAAACTGAAGAGTGAGTAATTTACTGTTACAGTATCCACCAGATAGTTCTATGAAATCATGTGACATTGTACTTGGCCCAATTATTAATTACAGTTCAGGGGAGTCGAAATCAAGAAAAATGCGGTCATGATAAATTTCTTGGCCAAGCACTCAAACTAAATGAAATCTGTAACTATTAGTTTACCAAAGAAGAGAGCATTTAATCGGCAGTATATTAATTTATTACCGAACTAACCCTGAAGTTAGCTGTCGAAGCTAACTCCTTAGCACTTCCCTTATGATTTAGGTAAACTCGGTCGAATATATAATTATTTTAAACATTCAACGACGTTAAACAAAGGCTTACTGTAAAAATCTACAATAAAGCTCCAGTATTTTCACGGTGTTTCAATGGGCAGCTAATAAACAAAATTAAAAACACTTTTCTTACCCTGTTAACAAAACCCTGGGACGTCAATGTAAACACACCCTCAACGAAGACCTTCACACGTCAAGCTACTAGACGTCTATAGCGCCTTACTAAAAATATAAACCATTATTTTTAATAAAATGTGTACTTTTGATATATTTATAGTCATTGAAGATGAGCTATTTATGACAATAAATTGTTTTTATTAAGTCTTATCGAGTTTTGATTTATAGTTAGGCAAACGATAAGGGCAGCCCGGTATTGTGGCGGCAGAATCAAAATAGAGTGGGATTTGAACGTTCTTCGTTTTGTCAACATTAGGTGAGTTAAAGAAAATATAGAGATCCTAAAATCCTTAATTGACAATGTTATGAGTTTGATAGATTACAAGAGCTTTTATTTAAAACGTGTATATAAAGAAACTAAGCTGTAAACTGTTTTAGTTCTTTCTTCAACAATCATCGTAATAAAATGAATCGTCAAATATGTTAAAGATGTTTATCATGTTATTTTAGATTTATCTGTTCTGTGAAAATGAATTATTAATTTAATTAATAAATTATACCCCCCCCCCAAAAAATGCTTGTTTTGAAAGATCAATTCAATCTTTATTTGAAATTAAAGTTTCAGGTAATTTTATAATGTTATTTTAATTATGCAGATCGTATTGTTAAAATACTTTGTGTTCAATCTATGTGTGGTTTAAATACCTCACCTCAGAAAACATGTTTGTATTTAGTTTTTTCTTTATTTTTGCCATACATGTCAATTTTACACTTAAGTCTAAATGTTTACTTGAATTAGCAGTAAAATCAGACAAATGAAAACCAACAATATGACCCTTTTGTGTTTACATCACTGTAAAGTCAAAGCAAGGATTGTGACTTTTGATTTAAAATAAACATACATTAAAAAGGTAACCTGTCAGCAGATTTTGCAGAGTAAAAATCCACATACTACCGGTATAAGTAAATTCCGCAGTAATCACATTTACGGCAGTATGAAAACATGCAAAAGGTTTTTGCAGTAACTACCAGGATATTGTAAATAAGCTTCTTGAACCTACTTTTACTGATTTGCAGTTCATTATGAAGGCCTCTAAAGCAGCGCAGCACAACTCTGCTCAAGAGGAATGTGGCGTTTGGCTCGATACGGCACAACTGAAAGGAAAAGCTAAACAGGTGATACTTGAAATAAGCTTCAAACACTCAACTTCTTTGCCTTTCAACAAATCTTTGAAATAATGCTTGAAAATATTTATTAGTAGCCTCTATTGACACTGTTACACTCGTCCAGCGTACGATAGTAAGGTAATATTTGGTATTGCACATTTTGCTTTTCAGAAACGTCTCGCCCGTCCCATCTCAAAATTGCTGAATCCCTTGGCTGAGGGTGAAGGTTACAACTTGGCTGTGGCACTCAACTTCACTCAGACCAAAGTGGAAATGCCTAAGAACAAACAGAGCGCTATGTCAATGTTTTTCACGCCTCATCGAAGAGGTACGCAGTCCGAAGTAGTCTTGTGAATTAATTTATGAAGCTGTATAAAGTGCGATTTTTTTTTATTTTGTGTTCTTGTTCTTCTTAGTTATTCACAAGATGTGCTCTTCTGAATTACCAAACCTGGATCCAGTGCAGCCCTTTTCATCGTCTATCTCCGCAGCGCCCGCCGTGAAAAAGCGAGGACGAAATGAACGTCTTGATGATCCTGGTGTAGATTGTGAGAGAGATGAAGATGTGACTGAGACTGAAGCAGCACCGTCACAGCATCAAGGAGGACATCATTTGTCTTTGCCAGACTATGAGTTTGAAGATAAAGGGTCTGAAGAGTGTCAACCACCTCAGAATAAGACGAGGCACACCGAACCCTCTTTGTTGCCAGATGACAGTCAAACACCTTTTCAAACATGGACTCAGGACTCACAGTTTACCTGCAGCCAGTTCCCAGAAAGTGAATTTGATCCAAACGATAAGAACTACACAAAGAAAAACCTTGAGAACTCTGAGAGAATTTTCCTAGACAGCCCAGTGAGTGAAGAGGTTTTTGGAAGTTTGACAGGTGCTGAAGGAAGAACATTAACTCAAATACCAGATAAACTCCATCCTCAGGCAGAAGATGAAAAAGAAAACAGTTTTTTAAATTCCCCAAAGAAGCAATATTCTGTCTCTCTTCTTGGACTTCCAGAGCACAAACAGGCAGAACCAAAAAGCACTTCACTAAAACACACAGATGGACGATGGAGCTGCGCAGGAAGAGAGGTGCATTTTGACTCAACAAGGACAAAACTGAGCAGCTCTCCTCTTCAGAAACCTCAGCAGCGGAACAGAAAGACTGATGGGAACAGCTGGGCTGCGTTGTTCACTCAGGACTCTGAGGGCTTCAGGGTGATCGCACATCGAGGTCCGACAACCAGGAGTCCACTCAAAGATGAGAGTAACATGAGCTCTGGAGGGGTGAGAAGCTGTCCTTACAAATCTGAAGAAGAAGATGACGAGGAGGATGAAATGCTCTTTACTCAAGACTCTCAGGGAAACATGGTGATCAAACACTGAAGCACATTCCTGATCTTTTTGTGTAACTTTAGTTCAAATGATGTAGATTTCTCACATAATTTTTTTCTAAATCTTTTGACTTATTTGTGCCAAAGTTGCTTTTTATTACCCGCCACTGAAAGGTCAAAATAGATGAAAATGTTTCTTCCAACAAGACCTGTGCTCATCTCTAACTAAAACAAACCACTGGACAGACTTTAACGAAACACTTAGAAAGTTTTCGATGGATGTGCATCTCCAACTGATTTAACTTTTGACACTAAATACATTCAAGATGGCTGCCACAACCATCTGACCTTGGAAAACACCAAAATGGCTACAACTCGGTCAGTTTGGCTGATTTTGATCAAATATTTGACTTTAAGCTGAGAGTCATTCCCAAAACATAGACATTCTCCACTATTGCATGAGATGATAAAATTATATTCAAGGTTTGACCAAAACAGCTAAAACTCCCACCTTTTCTCGACGTGAGATGATCTTAATCTAAGACTCGGGCATGAAAGGTGGTGAGTGATACGCATTTCTTCAGGAAATGCTAGATCTTTTTTTTTTTTTGGTGCATTTTTGAAAAAAATTTTTTTATCCGTTTGAATTTTTCATGTAAAATAAAACCCTTCACAAGCCACAGATGAAAGATTTTAGTTTTATTTAAAAAATAACAAGACTTACATCATTTCATGTAAATTCAACCTCAAGTTTTCTTTCATCTTTTTAATGTCGGTGACATTTGTGTTGTAATACAAAACAAAGTGATGTGCAGAGGCAGGAAGTGATCAAGCGTGAATGATGCTTTTTATTCTAAAGAAAACCGACATGATTTTAATTATTCTGAAATGTCTGCAGCGTCACATCTAATCTGACCCTTTTGCATTCACTTGAGCTCCTGCATCACTGAACTGTTTTATGTACGATTACGATCAAAACCACAGCTACAAAATATTAATCGCAATCTCACTAAAACATAAACACGACTTATAAACTCATAAAAGAGGTATCAAACAGAATCTGTGGTGTACAGGCTGCTGGATGTTGCGACGTGTTAATAATTCCTTATGTTTGAAAATAATAAGATACAATGATGAGAAAAACAGTAACGCTTATTTGAATTAGTTACATACTCGACTATAAACGCCTGTACCGTGTTGTTATGGCACAGACGGTAAATTTGACGTTTTAACAAAATCTGGGTTTTTGTTCGACTGTTACTTTTAATAAATTCAAAGTGCCAAAAGATTTTCTATTAAAAGTCACGAATATTGGCTCAAGGAGACGGTTCATATTTATTAAATCCCTTTTAAATCTGAATAATGACACCAAGTGGACAGTGCTGTGCAAAAGTTTAACCACCTTGTAATTATTTTATTGCTTCCAATCAGTCAGATCTTATAAATAGGTCTTGACTGAGGTCTTTCAGGCTTTCTGATATTAAAGTGTTTATTTATAATTTGGGAGGACTTTTACTGCTGCTTCGTTTTGCACAGTACTGCATGTGTTTACACTCAATCAGCCGGCGATCTCAGTGGGTTCCGTCACCAGTTTGGAGCCGTCCCAAACCGTCTTGAACTGCTCCGGGACGGGGAACTCCCTCTGTAAAACAAACCGAGGAGACGGCTGAAGCGAAGCGTCAAAAACAAAACAAAAGCACTCGTTCAGTTCCATGTGGAGCTCCGCCGCCTCGTTCCGACACTCACATAGTCGTCGTCTCCCTCTGGTATCAGGACGTTCATCTCGGAGCTCTTGGCGCTGACGATGTCGCAGCTCAGAGCGTCCTTGCTCAGGTAGATTTGGCAGCCCTCCGTCTTGTTGACAGAAATGGTGGGAACTGTTCCCAACACCTGCACATGTTTTAAGATGTTTTTTTTAAATGGCGCGTGATGGCAGCATTGTAACAAAACCACCTGCTGTTGCTCACCTGTAACTGGATTGCCTTGGAGTTGATGATCTCTACAATCCCAACAGCGTTCTCAAAAACCAGACCCAGCTTCTTGCAATTATCTGAAGAAAGAAATCCACCAATATAAGGAAAGTTCAAACAAGAGACGTTGATTTTTTATTTTTCCATACGTTTTTTGGCTTCTTTTATCCAGCCTTTTGATACTTCAAGCTTGCCTTTTGTCACATTTAGCTTTTAGCTAACGCTTTGCTTCTATCAGCTTTAGCAACTTATTTGAAGCTTTTTCAACCGAGTCATCCAGCACTCAGCATGCACGCTGCAGTTGCACAGAAAAATTCAGTTTCTAGTCCAGCTCACCTATGATGATGGAGTTGATTTTGCCCTTGATCTGCAGGGTGGAGTTGTTGCAGCTGAAGACGTACACCACCTGTTTCAGCTCGGTCTCCTCAATCAGCAAATCGTGTTTCTGCTCAAAGTTTTCCTGCGAACACCGAGGAAACAAAAAAAAAACCTGAAGAAACGCCCAACAGTCGCTGTGAGAGAGGCGAGGGGGACATACTGGACAGGTCTCCAGTCCATCACAGGGACACATAGAGACAAATGAGACCATTCACATCTAGGAACAATTTAGAGTTAACAGTTAACATGCATGTTTTTGGGGCTGCGGGAGGAAACCGGAGTATCTGGAGAAAACTCACACATGCAGGAGAGAAGTCAGTCAGAACATACAAACTAAATAAAAAGGCAGTGAGGTGGCAGCTCTAACCACTGTTCCACCATGCCAGAAAATGGAGTTTATCAGTGAAATTGGTAGTCATTTAGAAATGCACGGTGCTTCTAAATGAGAGTAGGATGGATGGATAGATAGTAAAAAAAAAATAAAAGGTAAGAAAAACTCACCACCCTCCATTTCTTTCCGTCCAGCTCTAGCAGAGGGGGTCTTTTCTGGACAGATGCTTTCGGAAACATAAGAGGCCGGGAATCGTTGTTTTTGACTGGAGATGTTTGAGAGCGCAGATTGGGGTTCTTGTGGGTCTTCTGTTCATCTGAGACATGTTTCAGACCTACAAACCAACAGGGCGAGGAGCGTTAAATACAACACCTTGAGTCTTTATATCATCCTCTGCCCCTTTTGGCCGAGCGACAGACCAACCTTTCGTGATGTCCATGCCCTGGTTGAGTTGAGTGAATAACGCTGAGTGCTGGACTGCTGCACTGTCTGCCTGAGGCTTGGAGTCATCATCATCGATGAAGACTGGAGGAGGGCCGGGGGGAGGAGGGGGACAAGGAGCACTAGGGGCTGGGGGGGAGGCAAAGAGAGAAGCAGGAGCAATGGGTCCCTGTGAGAAGAAATAAACCAAGGCTAGGGTTACATTTAGGTTTTATTTTAGTTATTATTGAGGAAAAAAAATCCTCATGTGTTAAAGGAGATCAGCTGCAGTAATAAAAATGTCCAGCAGAGGGAGTATTGCATTTAAAATGTCTTGGCCTAAATTGACAGTGATTCACTTAAATAGCTTTCTAGTTAATTCAAGGTTATTTTCAGTTTGTTCCAAATCCAATTCGCAGTTTTAAATACATTTTGTAAAAATATATAATAAAAGTTGTGGCTTTTAAATAATACTTGACAGAACATCAGATTAACTCTTATTTATTGGTTTCTATATTGAGCATTTTCATGTCTGGGACAGATTTGGTTTAACAAATAGGATGTGTGCACTAAAACTGCAGCAGAACAATCCATACACACACCTTCTCCCATTTAGAGACTTCTCACAGCTGCTGCACAAGACACACTTATTGCACGTCTTCAGAGAGCCAAACGGTCCCCCGATGTGAGAGTCGTGACGTGACCTTTGACACAAGGCGCAGGTGTTGCAGGTGTCGCAGCTCGACAAAGCAGAGCTGCCACACTAAGCTCAGCACATACCGCTGGATTACACGCAGCATGTGTGTGTTCATGTGTCTGAAGAGGAGGGGTTGTGTGTTCACAAACATAAAGCACCGCAAACGTTAACCGTACTGTGGAAAATCTGGAGCCGCTCATTATTTCTTTAGATTTTGAATCCAAGGAGATTTTCTTCTTCTTTTTATCTTATTTTCAGTCTAGCCCTTCTACCAGACCATTTTCAGATAAATCTTTTGGTGATTTCTTGTTTTGTGTTGTGATTTTAAACCATATAAAACAGAAAAAATGGATAATTTAAACATAAACATTCAAAACTCAATAAACGGACCAGAGATCTCTGTCATAAAACTTAGACCAACCGACTGTTTACTGAGTAAATATATCAACTATTGGAAGAAAATCCATCCATCCATCTTCTTTACCCGCTTCTTCCTTTCTGGGTTGCGGGGTTCACTGGTGCCCATATCCAGCAATCACTGCGAGAGGTGGGGTACACCCTGGACAGGTCTCCAGTCCATCACAGGGACACATAGAGACAAACAACCATTCACTCTCTCTCACACCTAGGGACAATTTAGAGTTACCAATCAGCCTAACATGCATGTTTTTAGTCTGTGGGAGGAAACCGGAGTACGTATCTACGAACATGCAAACTCCACCCAGAAAGGTCCCCCAGCCGGGATTCGATCCGGCAACTGAGAGGCAACAGCGCTACCAACTGAGCCACTGTGCCACCTTGGAAGAAAATACTTTTTTTAATTTTGAAGAAGTGATATTCTGTGGGGAGTTATGTAAGCTCATCTTGCTCGTCCTTTAAGTCCAATCCAGCAGGCTGTCATGTCTTTGCTTCAGCTTTCAGCTGTTTTTAATTCATCTTTGTTTGTATTTCTTGTGTTTTGGTAGGTTCGGCTGTTCTTCTGTGTTCTGTTCAAATGGTCAAACCACTAGATGTCCTACACAGTCCTTGTTTCCAGTCTCTTACCTGCATTATGTTAGTAATCAGCACCAGTGGAGCTTTTCCAGCCCAAAAATCTGTTAAAAACTGCCACATCACACAAAAATCCGCCCAATCGATATATTGTTACAGTATATTTACTGTTTGAACATGAACACACATCAGTAAAAGCCAAGGTAATTTAACAATATGTGGCAAAATGCAACAATCCCAAAAAATCTTCCCAGAGTTCCCAGCAAAATCAGAATGAAAACTGCCCAGTTGGCAGTAAACCGCCCAATCTGGCAACACTGATCAGCACACCTCTTGCCAGTACCGTACGTATAGTTCCTCGTTTTCCTGAGTTGTTTTGCTAGATTATCCTTTAGTTTCCATGCATTTAGCTGTTTGTTCGTTCCTTTGTTGCTTTGTCTTATTAAAAGCTTCATTCAAGTCCTGCCACACCTCAACGTCCACCAAATGTGACAGAGGCTGCTTATCTATAGGGACCAAGGAGACAGCTGCAATCCTGCTGAAGCATTTTATTCCCAGTTAATTCCTTTATTTCACGCTCCGAGTTGGGTACAGAGCGTAGGAACTGTGCATACATGTGTCCATATGTCAGCCTGTGGCTTTCGGAGAATAAGCTTGTCATTAAAGCTGTATCTGAGCAGCAGCTGACGGCTGTGTCGAGGTGACCAGCCCTGCAGTTTAGGTTACGGCGCGGGCCGCGTGCGCACACAGGCCCTTTGTCGGGGTCCCTCTGTGAAGAAAACCTCCATTCAAATAAACCCCGAGGACCACCTGTTCGGGCAACACTTTCGTCCTTGTGCGCACGCACGTCAGCTCTGTCGTCCCACAGCAGGCGCAACAGCTGACGCCACAGCAGGCTCTCAGGTTTCACCCTGATAGAGGAGTTGAGCGAACCAGAAGATGCAGCTGCCAGCAGCACATCTACAGCTCGGCCACGAACTTGGCTTTGTGGATTCTGTTCAATCTACACAAAAAACGATGAATAAATGAAACAAGCATTCCACCTCCTCCTAGCTATGACCGCACACAAATTTATCTCAGAACCTGTAAAATGACCTAAGTTGATTAGTGCTGGCAGCCATCTTGAATCAGGTTGACTTCAAAAGTTAATCAGCTGTAGATGGACACCGGGTTATGACTTCCTGTGGAGTTTTGTAACATTTAAAGAAAAAAAACATTACGGGCGTTCATGAATAGAATCTTCTATTTAAATTACAGCTTGAAATTTGCTTCAAAAAATGTGTTTGTGCCACCGAAAGTCAGAAAGAGCTCAACTCCTCCAACCTCCAGAAGAAAGAGGGGAGTCTGTCGAAATATTTAGCTTTGAGCCGTCGTAATCTTTGGGATCCACCGTAGGTGAGAGCCAAGGAGTTTCTGAGCGGGCATCCATAAAACCGAAGTGTTTGTGGGAGTGATGGGAGCTCTGGAAGCAGAAAAGGGAGCCACTGAGAAGATGCTCATTCATTCATTCATGCTCTCTGCAGTGGTTTATGTAACCTTGTAACTAAACATGGAAGCAAAGAGCAGGTGATGTAAAAGTACTAAAACCAGTAAATAAAAACCGAATGAAACACAGATGAGGAGTTTTCTTTGTGATCAGGCACGTTTAAGAAGCATATGATGAAAAAAATCATCAGTTTAGATGAATGTGCTGTAATGCTGAGTCAGCTTTCACACTTGTTGTTTTCCTGTTTGTAGTTTCTTCTGTATATTTTTTAAACTAACCATTTCAGCCATTTAACTATTCATAAGCAGTTTTACCAAAATTGAAATGATTGAAATTTACTTGAACATACTGTATGTGCTTCACGTTTAGCTTTTAACTACTGTACTCATTTTCTAGTTTTAGCTTTTAGCTAATGTTTTGCTAAATTTAGCTTTAACATTTTACAGATTTTAGCCGTTATATACTGGGCTGCTAGTTTTAGCTTTTATCTAATGTTTTGCTGAATTTGGCTTTATCTAACATTTTACAGATTTTAGCTGTTATATACTGGGCTGCTAATTTTAGCTTTTAGCTAATGTTTTGCTAAATTTAGCTTTACCATTTTACACATTTTAGCTGTTATATACTGGGCTGCGGCCCTGTGATGGACTTGCGACCCGTCCAGGGTGTACCCCGCCCCTCGCACAGTGATTGCTGGACATGGGCACCGGCGACCCCCGTGACCCAAAATGGAATAAACGGGTAAATAAAATGGATGGATAGATACTGGGCTGCTAATTTTAGCTTTTAGCTAATGTTTTGCTAAATATGGCTTTGTATACAATTTTACAGATTTTAGCTGTTATATACTGGGCTGCTAGTGTTAGCTTTTAGATAGTGTTTGGCCGCTGTTTAGCTAAATGTGTCTTTCAGCTATTGTTTTGTTAATTTTAGCCTTTAGTTGTTGTTTTGTTAGTTTGAGCTATTATGTGCTGTTTGACTTTTAGCTACTGGATTTGCTAATTTTAGCACAAAGCCAGTAGTTTGCTGATTTTGGGTTTTAGCTAAAAGTTTGATGGTTGTAGCTTTTAGAAACTGTTTTGCTAATGTTACTTTGTGGCTTTAGTTTAGCTTATTTTAGCTGCTGTTCTGCTTGTTTCAACTTTGTTTAGCTTAAGCTTGTTCACCAAATGTCAAGCCTTTTTGCGGGAGATGCAGTTTTTCCTGCAGCTGTCGTCGTATTTGTGGACTCACAGTCTTGCTCCACACCAATCCTGTCGTGTGGTGCTGCTTGATGAAGGACTGCATCTCAGTCCAGATGGACAGGTAGGAGCGCACCCAGTCCACATGGTGTCTGTCGCTGGGAGGGATGGGAGGCAATGTGACAAAACAAGACAGAAGTTTTCAGTCAGAGATTGATTTGATGAAAATTTTACGTTTGTGTCATTCTTTCTGCATCTGAGGCCGTTTTGTTTTTGTTGTGGAAAGGCAACCCTTAAATACAACCACGAGCTGAGTTGTGACAGATGTGGTTCAGGCTGAGGCTTGGTGGTTGGAGCAGATGTCCTCCAAAGGGACAGCTGGAGGTTCACATGTCCAAGTGTCTCTGGGCAAGACACTGAACCCCTCACTGCCTCTTATATAGTGTATGAATGTAATTTAAAGAACTGATTACTCAGATTATATTTGTAGTAGAGCGCTGTATGAATGTGCGGATGGGTAAAATATCTCACAGTGCTGTAAAGCTCTTTGAGTAGCCTGGTTAGCTAGACAGGTGCTATATAAATACATTTACCATTTATTCAAACCACTAAACTGGGAACCCTAATCTAATTTCCCATAATCAATATTACAGCTGAACTTTAAGGCAGCAGTGCTGATCTGAATATAGATCACAATTTATTTGATCATTTGAGCAAATTTTAATCCACATCAAGCCTTAAATTTAAGTGGAACCACCCATGTAAAAAAAGGGGGGTGAACTGAGTGGCATGGTGGGCATATACTGTACTCATTCATTCATTCATTCAGCCTTTATTTATACAGGTTAGTCTCATTGAGCCACGAGGACTCATTTGAGACATGTTTTAAACAAAGAACACAGACAACAATAGACAATAAAAAAGCAGCTAAAATAAAAAGCCAATAGAAGAAATGATATTAAAAAAACAGCTACATTATAAAAAAAAAGCTACATTCAATTATCTTACAAATACCGTAATTGCCGGTTTATAAGCTGCTACTTTTTTCACAGCGTATAAAAACCTCATATTTACTTTTCCTTGTAGTCCTTCAGCACTCTGTTGGTGTAGAAGGTGGCTGCATCGTTCATCTCCTTCACGTACGGACCAGGCTTCTGACTCTGAGACACAAACGATGAGGGGGGGTCTTATTTTCTTAGTGAGCCAGGATAAGCTTCATGGTTAATGGTAAACATGTCTTATTTGATGGTTTAAAAAAGATGAAAGGGAAGAATGTCTGGAAAGTATTTTCCTGGCAGCAGAGCAGGGATGACTTCAATGGTTTGTAAAAAATGAGCTGCTTTCATCTTAATAATATTTAGTGCTGATGGGAAACAGAAATATTATCTCTACATACAAATGTTGTTTATACGTTTTAAACTGAAGACCTGTTGAAACTCTTCTCTTAGCCCTGATTAATGATCAAATACAAATAAATGATCCAGTTTAGCTTCAAAGTTAGGCTGTTCATTCACTTTTATTTAAATGATAAGCACGCATGTCAGTTGTATTGATTTATTTTCAATATCTTACCACAGCCACCCAGCCCAGAGCAGGAATGCTCTCGCTGACTGCAGAGAGGTGGTTGAAGAGGAGGCTGCCGCGGTTTTGTTCTCTGAAATTCTGGATCTGCTGGATGTGATCCGAGATCGGCTTCAGGAGGTCTTGGAGCTCCGTCTGCAGGAGCAAAACGAGGACCGAATTAATACGAAGAAGGCGGAAAGGATGCAAAAAAGGCAAGAAGAGATGGAGGGATTCTTTATTTTAGTAACATACTATTTTTATTAAGCAGTGTCTGCATTTGTGTTTGCTTGTCTGTAGTGTTAGCAAAATATCTATTATATTTTAATGAAACTCTCAGAGAGCAACCATTGGATGCACATCTGCTGAATAATAACCAAACTATTTTTTATTCAACATTAGTCAGCACAAAAATGGCCGACTCCGACACTTTCACTAATAAATTCAGAGCGGTGTGGTAGTAGCTGAGAGTCATCCTCATCACATTCTCTGTGGGATCTTACAGGATTGCATGATTTCATACATTACTTAGAAGGTTTGATCAAAATGTTTTATCGATGCAAGACTATTTCTGTTTAAAATCCAGGTATGAAACGACGAGGACTTCTGGGCCTGTCATTTATTTTATTAGACGTGTTTCAGATGCTGATGCTGCCTCAGGGCCTCGCTGCGGTTCCTTCAGGACCTTGTCTGATTTTACAAGATTTTATTCGATCCTTTCAGAACATCCAGATCTGCGCTGCAGTTTCGCTCGTCGCTGGGCGGCCCTTCCCCGGCACTTCATTCCTTCAGACATTCCTCGGTTCACGGGGAGATCCCTCTGTCCTTGTAAGGCATCCTGCTCCTCCGGTGTTTACAGTTATCCCCCACATCCCCCCCTGCTCTCACCCTGATTCAAGACTACAACGTTTTATTGGAGGTTTGCACTGAACTCAACAGAACGTACAAAATTTACTGGTAACGAGCTGGAAAAGTGTTTTTTTTGTGTGTGTGTCATTTAACAACACAGAAAGAATTGATCTTTTATGACTGTTTATTAATGTTTGAATTTAGTCTAGAGAGCTTTGATTGTCATTATACATAATATATACATTGATCTCAAACATTGACTAACGCTCAGTGATAAAGACAAAAAAAAAATCAGAATTAGCCACACAAGCAGACAGAGCTCCATTCATCAGGCATGTTTAAATTGTTTAACAGGTTTAATAAATAGCTAAACATTTTCTGGTAGAGATTGGACCCAGGAATACAGACAAGCACAAGGAGCTTAAAGAAAAAACTTGAAAATTAAGTTTCATTAAACAAAAAATAAAAGGCTGACATAGAAACAAAAAATATACATGAACAAATCTCAAGGAGATGCAGACACGGCTCGAAACAAACACCGAGGGTGAAGCAAAAACTGACCGACTGGACAGAAGCTGATAAACAAGTGAAAGTGGGCGGGGCAAAAACTGATAGATGAGGAAGTGGCAGATTGCACAGAGGAAACAGAGAAAAACTAAAACACAGAAAACAGGAGCAACTCATACGGCCCATCAACAAACTAGTACACAGCAATTACATTATTATTATTCATTAATTATTATTATTAGACGGTAGATGGGGGGGGGGGGGGGGATGGGGTAGAGGCAGGGCAGCCGACTCAGAACTAGAGCTGCACTGATCCGATACCAATATTGATATCGATATTTGAAAAACCTTCTGGATCAGGTATCGTGACAATGTGACCGATCCATGACTGGGCAGATCTATTCACTCTGATTCTATGCTTAGTGCTCTGAGTGACATCACATGCTAAGTGTACTGACTGAACAAATTACAGTTGTGTTGTTTTTACATGATTGACCAAGCTTGCGAAGCTCTTGGTGTGTTAAAGTGTGCTGTTATGGTGCCGAGTTTTCAATAAATTTGTAATTCAGTACACTCATGTCTGCATTTAAAAAAAACAAATGTTTTAAGTTAATTCAGCACTGGGTTTGTAAGCTCAATCATCCAGGTAGACAACAAAAATGGCTAATCACATGATTTAACCATTTTTGTTAATTCAGCACTGTTTTTCTGTATCGGATCGTCATTGGATCGGTGACACTAAACAGCAGGTATCGTATCGGAAGGGGAAATAAGTGGATCGGTGCATCCCTACTCGGGACCCGAAAGTCCCAGGTTCTATCCCCAGTCATTGCACATCTCATGGTGTCTCTGAGCAGCACACCCTATACCCAATTGCTCCCTGGGTGCCTTCAATAGCTGCCCACTGCTCCACCTGGTGGTGGATGGGTTAAATGCAGAGAGCCAATTTCGCCATTGTATGGAAACTTACAATGATGACAACACATAACACATTATTATTATTATTATTATTATTATTATTATTATTATTATTATTATTACAGCAATTGGAATGACTTGGACAGGAAAATACCTTGTATAACATTTGACCTTGATTTGTGATCTTGACCTTGAAGCTGCAGCGATGAAATGTGTACGCGACACACTGTCTAGTGAAGTTTTGTTAAATTATCTTGATCGGATTAGAAGTTATGGGCGAAACAGGAGACAATTTATGGACAGACAGCTGGATGGAGACTACACCATAATAGGGGACTAGTCGACTAGGACATCTCGCGAGTTTTTATATTTCACGTCGACTAGACACAGTCACTGTCCCATGCCCTGCTGTTCCCAGCCCTATACCACCCAATCCACATGGTGGATTAAATTAAATAAAACTAAGAACAGTGGGGTGGGCAGTGGTGGACTATCACCACCCACCCCACTGTTCTTAGCCTTGTTTTTTATGTGTCACACCCTTCTTTCACTTTTGCACTTTAATAATAGTTTTGGTTTTCCTGTGACTTATTTGCTGTATGATAAATGGTAGGAGCATCAATATACACCCAATGTTTTCTTGTTCTTTTTTGTTTTATTTGTTTTTTGCAAATATGACATAGCGTCTTGAGTTCCTATGACGTCATCGACTAGTCGACGTCGACTTGACTTTTATAACGTTAAGGTCAACTTTTAAAAATATGTAGTCGTTCAGCCCCTACACAATAACACGTCCTGCCTTCGACGGGCGAACAATAAATCTAAAAACAGTGAACTCCAGAAGCTACCAGAAACAACTCAAGAACACAGTCTGAGAAAAAATATGAAACTGTTGAACACAAAATGGTAAAATTTACACTTTGAACATTTTAATTTAACCGCCCCACAGCCTTTGGGGCAAAACTGTTTTCAGAAAGAAAAAAAAACATAAAACACGTGCATCAAATTCTATCATTTCATCCCTGCGTGCACAGAAGCGAGCTCAGCGTCAGAGGAAGCACAGATTTACACCATTCAAAGGAGGTCATGTGAAAAACACTTTCTAACATTAACCGTTTACTAAAAACGTTAAATATCAATTTGAAGAGTGGTTAGTGAACTTGAGTTCTCTTGACATAAAGTAAAACCACTTGAAAATGCCGTGCCAGTACTAGTTGTTCTGGGCTCTAATGAACAGAACCGAAGTGTTAAATAATAAAAGTCGGTTTGTGTTTGAGTCTTTCACAGAACAAGTCTCAGCCTGACGTACAGTCTGAGTCAGAGTTTGTGTCCCACTCTGGACTTCCCCTCTCTGGCGTCGAACACGGACAGATGACAGAGTGACCAACAGGAAAGATACAACTTGAACCAGATCCTTACTTCGAGTTCATCTTTTTAGATTGTTGCTGTAAGCGTGGCAAACTGAGGGGTTCAAATCATTGTTTCCTTAATTCCATGCTGTTTGTTTATACGTCTAGTCCCCCAAGTGTTACAAAACTAAAAGTATTTGTCTTCAGCTACTTTTAGTTTTGTAACACTTGGGAGACCAGACGTATCCAACAAACAGCAGGAAATTAAGGAAACGGTGATGGAGGTAAAATGTCTGTAGCAGGGTTTTTGTTTATCTTAATGCTGAAAATAACAATAATATTGCAATATTAGATTAATTGCAAATAGAGAAATTGCATTTCCTGCAAAAATGCAGTGTGGATGCTCATTGCACAAAACTTTGCTGAAAAACATGCTGAAATGTAGCTGAAATGGAAGAACAAGTATAAGTTAGTAGAAGAACGCAAAAAGAACACTTATTTTCTGAATTAGGTTTAAATGAGAAGAAATTTGCATAAAAATTAGGAAATTTGCACCAAAAAAAAAGCTGAAATTAGCAAAAAAGTAGGAGACATCCATGTAAAAGAGATTAATGATCTCAATGGATTTCTTCCTGGTAAAATAAAGGTATAATAATAAAAGCCATAAAGAAGCTAAAACTACCAGAAGGAAGTGGAAGGAGCTGAAATGAGCCCCCAAAAAATCAAGAATTAGCTGAAAAATATTAAATTAGCATAAAAACAGCTAAATAGTAGCTGAAATAGCAGAAAAAGCTGACTTGAAAGGCACATAATAAGCTGAAATTAGCAGAGAAAAGTTAATTAGGCTGAAAGTAGCAGGAATTACCACAAAAAACTTGAATTTACCTGAAAACAGCTAAAATTAGCTAGCAATGCTAAAAAGGTAGCTGAAAAGGTAGAAGATACTTAAATTAGCAGAAGAAAGCAGAAAGAATACAGGGCTGAAAGATGGTGAAAGAAGCAGAAAAGAGCACAAAAAAGTGGAAATTATCTGAAAAAAGCAAAAATTTGCAACAAAAACAGCTGAAAAGTAGCTAAAAAATCAGCGAGAAGCTAAAATTGCAAGAAGTGGAAAGAGCACACTTTTGCTGAATTAGACCAAAAAAAGATGAAATGTGTCCAAAAAATGTGGAATTAGCCAAATAAGCTAAAATTAGCATACAACAGCTAATAGTAGCTAAAATAGGAGAAAAAGATGAAACTTGCATAAATAAGCTGAAATGAGCAGAAAGAGTTCGAAGAAGCACAAAAATGTTGTAGTTAACAGAAAGAATCTCAAAGGATCACAAAAAAGCTGAAAAACAGCTGAAAGTAGCTGAAAAAAGTTTAAATTTGCACAAGGCGGCTGAAAGAAGCTGAACCTGAACAAAATGTGAAAGGAGCAGTAAAAGGTTGTAAACACATCTAAAGATTTGAAGGATGTAAAATGAGCTCAAGTCATTTTCTATGAAGAAAAAGTGGCAGAAAAGGCTAAATATATCAAAAAGCTAAAGTTGCACCAATACCAAAGTCATAGCACCCTTCTCCTGAACGATGTTTTGATGCATGATTTGTTAAAATAGCATAAAAATTGTGGAATGAGAAAGATGCTGAAAAACGTATGGAAGAAAAATGGCTCACAATAATGTGAATGCTTCATGAACATTCACATAAAAAAGGGAAAGTTCGGATGAGGGGTTGTGGTCATGAATAAATAATATCTTACCTGTCGTAGACAAATTTTTAAATGACCTTGGTTTAAAAAAATAAAGTTTAATTCTCTACAGACTAAAAAACTAACACTCAGCATCACTCTCCAGCTCCTCCTGGGGACCCAAAGCCTTAATGGACCAGAGACGATCTATAATCCCTCCAGTTAGTCCTGGGTCTCTTCTCAATGGGCCATGCCTGGAAAACCTCCAAAGGGAGGCATCTAGGCACCTGGCCCACCTCAACACAGCAGAGGAGCATCCAAAGGAGTCAGTTGAGGTGAGAGACATTGTTGTCAGTTTTGAATTTCACTCAAATTAGAGCAAAAATGTTGTAATATTTCTGATCGAGGTTCCCCAGGCCACACCAGAAGTGCTGCAGCTTACTGCTGCTGCCACTGTTGGAGCTTGCAAATAACCATAGAATTCTAAATAACTATGTTGTGAAAAAAACTTACTGCATCGTAAAGGTTTTTAAAATAGTGTCCCCGTGAACAAACGTGATTTTTTTAAAATTGAAGTCCACTTTAGTCTTGGCTCGACTCAGACTAGCCGTTAGCTCATCAGTCCAGTCAGGAATAAACTCTATTTTTCTAACTGAGGTTGTTAAAACAGCTATCTGCAACAGGTAAGATATTACTTATTCATTCCCTTTCCACATAACCCAACTTTAAAAGATGTGAAGTATTAATTAACATAGTTGAAGCGTTTTTCTTCTTGCCTGGTGTGAAAGTGATCAGTTTAAAAACTTGAGACATTTTGTTTTTACTTTTATTGTTCTTCAAAAGTGATTTTAGTAATAAGAATCCATCATTGGCAAAAGCCGTCAAAGTGTGTGTGTGTGTGTGTGTGTGTGTGTGGGGGGGGGGGGGTGCTGCCATATTTTAACTAATTGACTTCAGAGTGGTTTAACAAATAGTAGCACAAACGTTGGTGTTTGTTTTTTTTGGGAACAAAGATAACAGAGAGATGACAGCGTTAGAGGGTTTGTAATAAAACGTTCATCGTATTGACATGAATCTGGAACACACACATCAGTGTTAACAGGCCAGGCTGTGTTTAACGCTCTCATTCTAACACACACACACACACACCACTGACGACAGGCTCAAATATAGAACATGCCCATAAAAAGTCAGGGAGCACAAGAGAACTACGCTGAAGAGAGGCCAGAGAATTAAGGTGTGGGTGTGTGTGTGTGTGTGTGTGTGTGTGTCTGCGTGTGTGTGTGTGTGTGTGTGTGTGTGCGTGCATGTGTGTGTTATTAATGCTCTGTCATGTATAAAAGTTTCAGCTTCAAGTTAGATTGTTTTTTTTACGGTTTCCAATGTTTAACAATTGTTGGATTTTGGATTATTGAGCGTGAACTTTGGTGTTTCCAGTGTTTGTTTTTTATTTAGCCTTACAGCCCCCCCCCCCCCCCCCCCCCCCCCACACACACACACACACTTAACATCTGATGGCTCAGTCTCCCTCTCGTCATAAAAGCTGCACCCCATTCTTGTTTGCCTTCTTTGATTTTCATATCCTCCACTAAACACTTGGGCTCTGTGCAGTGAAGTGTTGCCAGATATACAATAATGCCCACCAAGTGAGCAACCCTCCTCCCCTACTGGGGGCCCATTCGCTGCCAATCACAACCCCCACTAAAACAAATGACAAAATACATTAGTTTTAAAGCGACCGTACGATAGTTTGTCAACTCCTGGCCCAGTGGACTCTGTGACACTGGGCCAGGCAACACCAACAGCGGGCCAAGCGGATGATATCATTATTAATTCTCTCACACACAGCTACCCCCCCCCCCCCCCCCTCTGTCCATGGGCATGCAGAGAATGTGTTGCATTGGCGTTTTCTTAGACACAAAGCAGACTGATCCCTCTGTGAACGGCTCTGCCCGCCGGGGAACACGGGACTGAGATCCACTTCGTCTCCGTGCTGATAAATGTGAGAAGCTTGATGCAGTGAGTGTCACAAGAACGGTGCCGCAGCGTTTCTGCTAAAGTTTTCAGCATAAACGCAACCCAAACAGACCGCAACACGGTCTCATATAAGCTTGTCAAACAACCAAATCACCAGTGAGATTAGAAGATTTTACTCTAACTGGTAATAACTTGATGACAGGTAAACCAGGACTCAACTGTTAAATACTTGCAGAGGTTGTTGTCAGTGTAATTGTGTAAATCTTGGACAGATGTGAGCTCAGCTGTCCCACAGTCAGTGGGCTTGAGTGAAAACCATCTGCTGTTGTACCTGTGCAGGTTCCTGGTGTGTGGCAGCCATCTTCAGGAAAGTTCTCTGGGTCTGCAGCGCGTCGTTCACCATCTCTGCCTGCAAGAACACATTTTAGGAATGACTCAGAGTGGTTCTGTGCAAACACCTGCATGAAGCAATTCTCTTTGCTCTTGGCTCTGCTTGAACCAGCCGTTAGCTTATCAATTAAATTTAAATTATTTCTCTAATCTGAGGTCCTTCAAGGAGACATCTACAACATGTTTCACTTAACCCTGCTTCAAAAGACCTCAATTATCCCTTGAGGTAAAATATTCTAATAAATAATTGAGCTAACCAAATCCTGAGCCTGTATCGGTGTGTGAAAAGTGTCATCACATTTTTTAAAATATGTAAAGTATTGACACCCTCAGAAAAGTTAAATGCTCAATCTATGGCAGAAATGTGAATCTGTCTGTCTGACAGGCACACTGCACAGTTTAGGTTAGCCCCGTGGCGGGCCAAAGGAACCACCACGGAGGCCTTTTCCATTTAAGGGACTTTATAAAGTTAAGTAGAATTCCTCTGACTCTGAGTTACCCACGTCTCCCTCCTCCGGTCCGTTCAGTGATGGGACACAGAGATAGAAACGCAACTATTCTGTGTTTTATGTTTCCTCAAACGCTTTCCCTCCTCTGTCGTTTTGGCTCAGGTCCAAGGACAAAACACAGGTTTTACTGCCAACTGGTGTTCTGTGAAACACACTTATGGTCCTAACAGAGGTGCAGGTCTTTAACAAACAGGAATAAAAGTTGAAGTTTCACTGATAAGGTCAAAGTTAACTTACGCTAGCATCGCTGGCTTTGCAGAGGGAGAAAAACTAACATTTGTGATTATATGTGTGCATACTTTTGAACTCACCCCCCACCACACACACACACACCTCAATATCCTTCAGTTTTCCAGACCTGTGCCTATCTAAGTGGAATCTAAAGTGGAACAATCCTTTCTGTTTATACACTGGTGCCCAGTGGGATAAACGCTGGCTGCACTGTATCCAGAAATGATCCTGTTTTAAGAGGAACCATTCTGAAGAGCTTAATGCTCCTTCGCACAACAAGTAAAACCCCTGGCACAAAATCAGACAATGTTCAATAAGGAACAGAAGATTTGATCAATTTCACTCAGACACAGTAGATAAATGGCTGGGTATTTTTAGGTTAAACACATATGATATAAACAAACTTTAGAGATGCTAATGCTAACCAAGAGACGTCAGTGAGAGGCTGTGATTGGAACAAAAAATATATTTTTGTAAATGAGGACAGCATTCCTTAAAGGAGCCTTTAGCTGCTGAGAACTTTGAACGCTAACAGCTGAACGTTTGACGAAATTAGCTGAAGAAACTGAAACTAACGTTAAAGCTTTAAGCACCAAAACACTAGCTTAAAACTAAGTGTCAAAAGGCTAGCTAAACGTGACAATTAAAAAAATTATAAGATTAGCAAAACACTAAAAGGTTAAAGTATCAAACAGTTAGCTAAAGAGTAAATGTCAAAAAAGGCTAGTAGAAGAATAATTGTTGCTACAGGCTAGCTAAGAATGAAAAAAGTAACAAAAAACTATCTGAAAGCCAAAAGTGGCAAAATGCTATGTAGAAGTTGAAAGAAGCAAAATGATAGCTGAAAGCGACAAGTAGCAAAACACTAGCTAAAAACTAAATGTAGCAAAATGCTAGTTAAAAATTATTGCTGCAAAAATAAATGCTGCCCAGAGCTAGATACAACTAAGCCAGCTAAAAACAGCAAAATGGTAGCTAGAAGTTAAAATTTGCAAAATGCCAGCTAAAATAAGCTGAAAGCTAAAATGGCAGAGGGCTATTTAAAAACATAAAATGTGTAGCTATAGCTAATGAGGCATAAGGGTAGCCAAAAGCTTAATGTAATAAAACACTAGCTAAATGTGGTGAAATACTCACCAAAAGCTAATAGCTAAAAGTTCAAAAGGCTAGCTATAAATGTAAAAAATCTAGCTTGAAGTAGCAAATAGCTAGCTAAAATCCAAAACTACAAAAAAGCATCAAAAGACTAGCTAAAGAGTAAATGTCAAAAAAGGCTAGTAAAAGAATAACTGGTGTTAAAGGCTAGCCAAGAATTAAAAGTAACAAAAAACTAGCTAAAAGCCAAAAGTGGCCAAATGCTACCTAGAAGCTGAAAGAAGCAAAATGTTAGTTGAAAGCAACAAGTAGAAAAACACTAGCTAAAAGTCAAATGTAGCAAAACACTAGCTGAATTTTTTTGCTGCAAAGGGCTAGGTAAAAAAAAAATGCCAAGGATTAGATAAAACTAAGCCAGCTAAAAGAAGCAAAATGGTAGCTAGAAGCTAAAATTTGCAAAATGCAAGCTAAAATCAGCTGAAAACTAAAACAGCAGAGGGCTACTTAAAAGCATCAAATGTGTAGCTAAAGCTAAAGAAGCACAAGGGTAGCTAAAAGTTAAATGTAATAAAACACTAGCTAAATGTGGTGAAATACTCGCCAAAAGCTAATAGCTAAAAGTTCAAAAAGGCTAGCTAAAAATGTCAAAAATCTAGCTTGAAGTGGTAAATGGCTAGCTAAAATCCAAAACTACAAAAAAACATCAAAAGGTTAGCTAGGAAATGAATGTAGCAAAAGGTTAACTAAAAATTCAAAGTAGCATAAGACGACAATAATACAGAAAGTAAAATGAAGCAGGTCTTAACAAAAAAGGTTTTATGGAAGTGAAATAAATTCTATGTGTTTCTATGGATAATAAAAAAAATTCAAACATTTTTAAGTTTTTAATTTACAAATTGAAAGCCTCCATCTCCTGTAGGAGCTGAATATTTTGATTGTACAGTTTGAATTCAGTACATTATATCAATCGCTGGGACAACTTTAGAGGACTCACATGTGTCTCCACCTCGCTTCCTATAGCTCGGCTGTAGTTCAGGTAGTCCGACACCGGACCTTTGAGTAGAACATCAAAAACCTCCACACTCTGAGACGGACCTGGATAAAGACACAGAAGTCCCTGCTTATTTACCGTCCTCATTTAAACTCAGGAACACTAAGACTGAAATTATTTGAAGTCCCAAACATTTTCGATCGCACGCTCACCTCCGTCGATGCCATTGGCACAGCTCCCATTAGCCATGCTGCCGGACGGCTGCATCGTGACGGACATTTGCTCCAGGCGAGTCACAGCCTGCTCCAGCCGCTGCATTAAACCCTCCATAGTGACGGTCCTACAAACAAAGACTAAATTATTTATTCACAGGGCTCTCGGTGTTAGAAGTCATTCTCGACATTACATTCACTTTTTCTGTTTTTACCACCCACTGCTGAAGAGAAAAAGAGCAATTATGCTTTTTCCCATGTCTGTGTGTGCATTTATTTGTCTGTCAGCAAAATATCTCTGAACTCATACGGCAGATTTTAACAAAACTCTCTGAATGGACGTCTACAACTCACTGGCTTTTGAAGCCGATGTGATTCAAGATGGCCACCACCAGGAAGCAAACTTCAACACATAAAAAAAGACTACAACTCAGCCAGTTTCACAAATACTGAGCTAAAATTTGGCGTGGTAGAAGCTGAGGATCATGTCCAACACATACTGTAAAGGAATACTTTGAAATTAGTAAAAAAAAAAAAAAACATAAAATGCTGAATGTTAACAATTAAAAAACACTAATCAAACTTAGTTGCATGTATTTTTTTTGTACCCTCTGTTAGGTTTGGGTTTGCTCGTCAAACACGAATAAGACAGACCGAACCGTGTCTCCCTCTTTAACTCTGACTAACCACGAGATAACTCAGGACTGCTTCCAATATTTATTAGTCAGCAGAGGAGGAATTCAATCCAGCTGCATGTTTACACAAACTACTGCTAGGCAACATGGAGTTTCTGATCTGCCACCACTACTCTAATGGTTTTATCTCCATCGGGTTTATTTTGCTTCACAAAATGACTTTTCTAAAGGACAGTGGAACAAGTTGTCAGCTGTTCAGACTGAATAAAGTTCCTTGTCTGTATATTTTGGTTCTTTTGTCCAGGAATTAGAAGCTGCGAGCAGCAAACACGTCCTGGTGGGCGTCATCGAGTCATCTGCAGGAAAAGTCTCTCAGCAGTGCCACATGCCGGTCACCGAACTCGGAGGTTATTTCTGGTCTGTGGGTCAAAAACATCAGATACTGGTGGGAGACTGAAAACCTGAAGAGAGCAGAAACCTGGAGAGAGCAGAAACCTGAAGAGAGCAGAAACCTGGAGAGACCAGAAACCTGAAAGAGCAGAAACCTGGAGAGACCAGAAACCTGAAAGAGCAGAAACATGGAGAGACCAGAAACCTGAAAGAGCAGAAACATGGAGAGACCAGAAACCTGAAAGAGCAGAAACCTGGAGAGAGCAGAAACATGGAGAGAGCAGAAACATGGAGAGACCAGAAACCTGAAAGAGCAGAAACCTGGAGAGAGCAGAAACATGGAGAGAGCAGAAACATGGAGAGACCAGAAACCTGGAGAGAGCAGAAACATGGAGAGAGCAGAAACCTGGAGAGAGCAGAAACATGGAGAGAGCAGAAACATGGAGAGAGCAGAAACCTGAAAGAGCAGAAACCTGGAGAGAGCAGAAACATGGAGAGAGCAGAAACATGGAGAGACCAGAAACCTGGAGAGAGCAGAAACATGGAGAGAGCAGAAACATGGAG